AAAAAAAAAAAAAAAAAAGAAGCAACTTTAGCAGAGCTGAAATCTCAACTCTGTGCAAAGGGGACTGGCCTCTTTCAACTCACAGATGTTTGGGTCATACTCAAAATATGAGAACTGCCTGTTCCCTCCAGCCCCCAAGACTCCACCTCACCCTACGACCTCGGCAGCCTCATCCAAGCTTCGAGACAGAGCAAACAGAAAGCACATTAGGGTTTAATAACAGCAAAGAAGGGCAAGGAGATGGGTCAGTGAGGCAGTAAAAGAGAAATCTGTTTTAAATTGGGAAGAAATGTTGAATTCAGATGGCCCATTCAGCACGCTGCCCTCCAGACTGGAATTATCCAAGAATCTTTGAACTTAAAATTCTTGGAACCAACAGTTCAAAGTGCAGCAGAAAGAAAAAATGGAAAAATTCAAACAATCTCTTTCTTTGCCCATCATCATCATCACCAAATCATCGTCAACTCAAAGCATAGTTAGCCTCATTTATAACCTCAGTTCACTTACTTTGATAAGGCTCAGAAGTTATGTTACTACTTGTGGCTTGTAAAATTGAAACCCAAAAGTAGAATGGCCCCCAATGGAATTTTAGATGCAAATCAGAAAGAATTCATCTGAGGCAGTGCCTAATAAGATGGCCCCTCCACAGGAATCCCAAGGCGACTAATTTAAGGGAAAACAAGTCTAATTTTAATAGCTATTAAAATAATCAAAAGAATTAATAGAGGAAATAAACAAGTCACCCTCCAATTAATTCTACATATACCACCTTACCTTACCCCAGCCAAGCTTTATCCATAGGTTGTATGAACTAATTATCCCATATTATTTAAAGGTTTAAAATTAAAAATTAATATTCCCTGCACAGTAAAATTTTGGAATTGTTACTGCAGATAAATGTTAAAAACCCCCACAAAAACCCCTCATATTGTAGATATAAAAATGAAGGGGGAAAAATAGCAATAATTATCGAAGTAATTCAGTGCTACAGTGTGTTGAGAAAGAAAATGGGGAGGGTTAAAACGGTTCAGATTATGTTAACTAAGCATCTCTGAGTTGCAAGTAAAACATTCTAAACAAACCAGCTTAAGTGAGAAAGGAGAATTTATTACAGGGATACATACTCAAGACTAGAACAAAGGCGTAGAAAACACAGTTAATCTCCACCTTTTCTTTGTCTCTTGGTTCTACTTCTGTCTATGGATCCACTTTCTTCCCTTGTCTCTGCACACAAGTGTTCTCTGCTTCTCTGAACATGTGGTAAATCAGGGCTGTTTAAAAAACTTGTTCAGTAATCAAAATATTCTATATCTGTACTGTTAAATATGGTAGTCACTAGCCAGAGGTGCCCACTGACCACTTGATATGGCTGGGGTAAGTAAGGATCCTAATTTCCAATTTTATTTAATTTAAACTTAAATGGCCACATGTGGCTAGTCTCTACCACATCAGAGAGCAACATGGAAAAGGTCGCTGTCTGGTAGTGCCTTCATTTGCATACCCTCAGTCTGACCAACTTGCGGAGACTGACTTGCCTTCCTGAATTCCAATTTCAACTTCTGGGGATAGAAATGTTGACTGGCCCAATTTGTGTTAGGTACCACCCCTGGTTCAACCAGCTTTGCAGAAGGGGTAGGAATGTACACTATCAACATAGCAGCCAGAACCAACCCTTATGTGCAAGGGAGAGGGGTGTAATTCTTAGAAGAAAATGTTCATGTTCTGGGTAGTCACTTCAAGAGATATCTGCTCCTCAGGTTAACTTCCTACAATGATTAATTTTCAAATCACCTCCACTCATCAATGCAAAAGAGACTTAAGATTCTTGTTTATGCAAAAATAGGTCTTATGCTTTTCAATAACATCAGGGAGATGTCAGTGGGGTGTAACAAAAACTGAGAAATCAAGAATCAGTTTCTGGTTTCTAGAGACAGCCTCATTTTAGTGTGGGTAGGTGAAGGCTGTCGAGTACAGGCTAAGGTCAAAGCTCTCCCGTGTCTTAGGTTGTGCCCTGGATTTAGTCTATCTGACTCTCATCTGTCCTGAGCTTTGGGGCCTGATGGCTCATTAAGATCTTGGCTACTGACATCTGACTGACTGTAGCCTCAAGCTTTGCTTTCTGGCTTCCCAACCCTGCATGCTCCTAGGTCCAAATTTTTAAGTAAGTTTCGAAACCTCTAACGTGTCATGATCCATATTAGGCACGGTTCCTGGTCTTCCCTGAGGGCCCATCTGGTGAGTCGCACTGCCTGACATTGACGTGACAGATGTGTCCTTCAGCAAATACTTTCAGTTGAATGTGTTTCCTACTTTTCTGTTAAAAAGTACATGTAGTGGGCTGATACTTCAACTAATGACAAACACATGTTCTAATGACCCTTCCTAAATACGGTCAGAGACTTTCTTTTTCTAATACCTCTTTTTGTCTTTCAAGTGGCCTATAAGTAGTTCCTCAAAGTGTCTTTTTGAAATGATTTTATGCTCCACTGGTGTCTTCATTAATTAATGAGCTGAATAAATTTTGCACATGTTCAAAACAAAAAAGAATTAAAAAAAGTTTTATAAAAACAGAAAGTAATACAAAGCTTGCAACAGGTGAAGTGATGTTACTAGCGTGAACAGTAACAGCGCTGATTCCTTATACATATGACGCCCCAGGGAGTTGGAGAAAAGGGACAAATCAGATTCAGCTTTGTAAACTGCCCCCAACTCCAACGCCTTCCACCCAGCCAGGATGGCTACCTGCAGCCACACTGTTCCACAGGCACTAACATCCACCACGTGAATAAAGATTCTGGAAATCAGACACACAGAACTTACCCACGCACGTGCCATCCTCAGAAAACCGATAGCCCTGCACACACTCGCAGCGGAAGGTCCCTGGGTGGTTATTGCAGACGGCGTGGCTCCCACATGCCGAGGGCTGTTCTGAGCACTCGTCGATATCTACAGCAAGTTTTTAAACAATGAAGACTTGTTTTAAACCTCTCCACACATCACTACATATAATAAGAGAAAGCTTGCCAGTGGACCTCAACCTAGGCAAAAACCCAACCAAATGGTATTCAGCTTTTTGAAAACATACTGCAATGAATGTTTCTGTGAAATTCAGACACGAGATGTCGGTTCCAGGCACAGCTGGGAGGTTCAGGAACAGAGCACCTCCTAAGGTGGTCACTTCCATCAGCAGGAGCAGCGTGGAGATGGGGGGCTCAGCGAGTGTGCGCCTCACAGCTCATCAACCAGCTGTGGTGACACCAGCATGGGAAGAAGAGATCATTCTGGCTCCCACTGTCCCACTCCACAGCTCCCAGGACACTCCAGCACAGACATCTGGATGCCGTGTGCAGACGGCAGGGCCCCAAGGCTGCCACTCCACTGCCAAAGCACATGAGGGAGCACAGAGCAGGTTTCAATCCAAGGGACAAGAACATCACCACCAAGCTCCGTTCTCCCCAGGAAGCTTTATGGACAGGGAGTATGTTTCAAAAGTTTCTTGGAAGATCACAGAGGCACTGGACCCTCACAGCCTACCTGGAGAACCACTGCAGACAGGGTGTGAGGACCGGTGGGATGGGGGTCCTCAGCACAACCTCCACCTCCATGCAGGTCCACACGCATGACAAGAGCTGGTGACAGCTTCTCTTAGAGTAAGACCTTAGCAATTTCCCCACCAATATTTCATGGCCCTTGCAGTTTGGAAATCCTTCCTAGCATCTAATTTAAATCTTCCCTTCTCTAAACTGAGGCCAGGACTTTAATCATTTCTTCAATGAAACAGTGAATTAGTGACGACTGTCCCTCATAAACAACATCACAATATCGGCTTGAAAATTACTGTTACTATTCAGTATCTGGTCAACCTCTTCTCTGGGAAGAGATTTCCTTTCAAATAAATCATTCTCTAACCCAGTAGAAAAATCCTAGATTACTCTTGGAATTAATTACTGCTCCCTTTTTGACTACTTTTCACGTATCTTCAACTCTAAGTTTCTCCAATTTGTCCCTTTCATAAAGGCCAGGCTCTTTGAGAGGAATGTCATGATGGATTTGTTAAATGCCTGTTCATATTCAAAATTACTCTATGAGAGCTTATTCAAAACTACCTTTACAGAAACCCAGTGGAGAAATATACAGGAGCCATTGAGCCAAGAGGCAGAGCTGTGACTCAACTGGAAATCTCCAAAGCACCATGGAGGGTCCCTGGGCAGTGTCTGACCAACACCCGCCCTGCAGTGTTGCCTATCATCTTATTAATGCTGTGCACACTGAACCACAAAGGCTGTGCTTCATTCTCCCCTAAGGCCCTTCCCAGGCCAAAATAATACACGAAGTGATCTGCTTAATGCAGTTTCCTATCAACAGCCTAGGGTCTCAGTGTACTGACACTCTGAGGCACGTTCTAGTGACCCTGAAAAAAACATGGCCTGCCTGGAAGTACTCACATTCCCCGGTGCTAATCTGCCAGGAGGGCTAACCACAGGACAAAAGCAAGTCCACACAAGGCCACCTGTCTTCCTGGGCGAAGGCATCAGAGAGTGGCAGTGACAGATCACATCAAGCACGGCTGGTCGTGCAAGCATGACTAGTTGAAGCAAGCACCCCTACGACGACCAGTTCAGGCACCAAGAGTGGAATCAGCAGAGGCTGGGGTTCGGCAGCAGCAGGTGAAGTGTCTCCATGCTTTACTATTATCCAGCTGGCTTACGAAGTTGAAGGAGGGCTCCATAAAGACTGGAGGAATGGGATGCCCCACCCCTGCATGGTGTCCATCCTGTCCTCTCAACCCTGGGAGGGCTCTGCTTTCACAACCACAGTATTATGCTGCTTCAAACTGCCCAGAGCAAATTCAACCATTCAAGACTATCAGGCTCTTTTGGGAAACACTGGGGAACTCTGATCTGAGATGAGTAGGAATTTATCCCCTCCCCAGTGATATGTTACAAGGCAGATGAGATTCAGATTGAATTCCCCCACACGTACAAAGTTATGAGTAAGCCGGCTAAACAACTGTGCAACCTATTCCCATTTCACTCTGACGCAAACACAGCAACACCCAAGACAGCAGGGTCTTCTAACCTTCACATTAAACCAGCATGCTAAGTTCGCCATTAACTGGAGGCTTGGGATTCCAGACCTAAGGTACTGTTCCCACATTCCAAGGCTGCTGGGCTCAGATTCTCATACCACAGTCATTCACAGGGGCTGCTCAAATGTACATGTGTACACCCCTCATTTCATTGGGGAGACTTCTTCCGGGCATCTCACGTTTATTAGTGAGCCCTCTGGTGCAGACTGAGGTAGAACAGCTTAAAGAATCGGACATTCTTGCCTGGCCGGGCGTGGCTCAGCAGTTGAGCGTCGACCTGGGATCCAGGCGATCAGGGTTCGATTCCCGATCAGGGCACATGTCCGGGTTGCAGGCTGCAGCCAATCAATGACACTCTCATCACTGATGTTTCTGTCTCTCTCCCTCCCTCTCCCTTCCTCTCTCTGAAATCAATAAAGATATATTTAAAGGAAAAAAAAAAAAAAAAAAAATTTTAAAAAAAAAAAAAAAAAAAAGAATCGGACTTTCTCACAGTAGATGCCTCTAGTTTTCATACTCTTCGTTGAGTTTGGAGTCAACTAAGCTCCCCTTGGTAGCAGATTACAATTTAACAACAAACATGTAAATATCAGGCTGTCTATGTGAAAGTATCTGAAACTAAATTATAAGTAATAAAATAAGTTCAATGAGAAGACAGCATAATATACACACTGGAGTCACAGACTCTAGTGAGAGGCATGAGTTCACTTGAACAAGCTTCAATTTCCCAAATATAACAAGAGGAATGGATTTCCTACCCAGTAGGATGGTCACTATCAAAGAAACAGAAAATAAGTGTTGGCGAGGATGTTGAGAAAAGTGCAGCCCTTGCACAGTTAATGGGAATGAAAAATGGTGCAGCTGCTATGGAAAACAGTATGGTGGTTCCTCAGAAAACCAAGCACACGATTACCCCAGGATGCAGCAATTCCACTTCTGCACATAAACCTGAAAGTGCTGAAAGCAGGGACTCAAAGAGAGATTTGCACAGCCATGCAAATATTCGCATTATTCACAATAGCCAAAGAATGGAAGCAACTCATGTGTCCACTGACGGATAAATTTAAAAATGTAGTATATGCATACAAAGGGATATCATTCAGCCTTAAAAATGAATAAAGTTCTGACACATGCTGCAACATAGATGAACCTTGAGAACATTATGCTAAGTGAAATAAGCCAGTCCAAAAAGACAATAACTATATGATTCCACAAATATGAGGTCCCTAGAATAGGCAAACTCATAGCAAGTAGAATGGTGGTTGCCAGAGGCTGGGGGCAAGGGGATGGGAAGTTGTTTAATGGGAACAGAGCTTTATGAAGAGAGTTCTGGAGATCGATGGTGGTGATGGTTGAACAGGGTGAATGTACTTAATGCCGCTGAGCTGTACGCTTAAAAATGTTTACATGGTAAATTTTATATTATGTGTATTTTACCATAATTTAAAATAACTTTTAAAAGGCAGAGATGAAAGCCTCTATCTCATTACAGTTACTGAACTAACTGAGATGGTGTCTGTGAAGCGGCTCATGCAACTGTGCCTGGAAACCTTATATTTCACGTGTTATAAACAGCCCTGACCTTAGCTTCCCTTTGCACCTGCGTGGGGTGTGGCCTCACACTTTCTGCTCTGCGGCTTAGAGCAGTGCATCTGATCAACATAAAGGGGCAGCGCCCCTAACATTCCCGGGGGCCCTAGAGGCCATGCCACCAGTGCTCATCTCGGAGCCTCGCCCCTCCGGCACAGTCTGGGTTACAGGGCGTGGACGCGTCCCCCGCGACCCCCAGCCGCCCCCGCCAGAGCCGAGGCTGTACCGTGGCAGATGCGTCCGTCTCCTCGAAAGCCGATGGAGCACTCGCAGGTGAACTGCGTCCCGGGGCCCGGCCGACAGGCCGCGTTGGTGTCGCACCCATGGCTGCCGATGTAGCAAGGGTTCTGCAGGGCGTCCGGGGAGCCTTCTGCGAGGGCAGAGACAAAGACAGTGAGTCCTCAGAAACGCTCGCAGGCTTCTCCACCCACGGAGAGGAAGGCGGGGCCGAGGCCCAGCCTGGGCCGTGGGCCGTGGGCCTGGGGCCAGGGCCCGGGCAGCAACCTGCGGGCGCTCCCCCCGCAGAATTGACCGTAAAAGACAAAACACGACGCCTAAGAAGGGCACTGAGGACATCGTAAAATTAGGAAGACTACTGGGAACTACAAATCCCGTGAATACGCCTAAGCCGCGCGTGGGTTGGGATGATCCTGATCTCTGTGGTGGCACCGCCGCCCTCCTGCTCCCCACGCGCTTGTTTCAAAACAGGGAACCAGCAAAATCTGGGACAAAACCGTGTCACCTGGAAGAAAGGCTCACTGTCCTAAGACCACCACTAGTTCACCGCTTTCTCTCCACTGGAAGTCCGAGCGGGAAGGGAACGCGCGCAGGCCTCGCTTCCGCTCCAGACTCACTGCGTCCCCGCGCGGCGCCCCGACTTCCGGCCGCCCCCTGACTTCCGGAGGCTTAGGCCTGCGGCTCTGCTCTCAGACCGCGCGAGCTCCGCGGTTTACCTCTTTTTACGACAGTGTTACCGTACGGCCGACAGGCGCGCAGTGACAGTGTTTGCGGCAGGAATGCCTGGCGGGAGGCCAGCCGCCTCCAAGACAGAGTGAGGCCCCCGGCCCCCCCGCCCCCGTCGTGAAGCAGGTGTCCCGGAAGCCGCACACCCACTGGCTTGCCGTCGGTCAATGGCTGCTTCTGTGCCGAGATCTGCGACAGACTCCGGCTGGCTGGCAAAGCCTCAGTGTCTACCGTCTGACCACTGCACAAAAAAGGCGCCAACCCCTGGTGCCTTAAGCTACAGTTGCTAAAGGAAGGAGAAGCCACGTGCCCTCCTGCTCCGTGGAGCTAGACAAGGGCAGACTTGATCAGCTGGAGAAGGGATCTGGGTGCGGCAGCAGAACCAAAGTCACTGACAAAGAGCAAGACCTTACTGCCTGGACCCCAGATATGCAAAACCCCAGGGGCCTGAAGATTGGGACCACGTGAAATCTAGCACAGAGATCCCCGTAGCTCCCCCAAATGCAGGCTCCTTCCACGTAGCCATAAAGCACCCACAACTTGCCGGCATGGGGCAGGTTGCTGTAGGCTGTCTGCGTTTCGGCGGCTTTTATTTGGATTTCCTTAGGCCCTGACCACATGTTCCTTTCGGGGTTGAGTATTACAGTGTTTAAAAAGCCCTTCCAGAGCCAGCTGCCGCCCTGGATGGCCCTCTCTGTAAGGTAAGTCACAGGTGAGCACCCTTCACCCCAAACAGTAATGAGGCCTTCGGTTAGCCAAACAGATGGGCTTTCTAAGAACCACAGGTAACAAGACAGTTTTTTTCTGTTAGATATTTTCACATAATTTTCCTCTTAATGAGTAGGAGACAAAAAACAGTATGTCCCAGAGCACAGAGAGACGTGCAGGTACACGATGCCCAGTCTGAGCTGCCGTCTCTTACCTCGCACAGGCCCGATGGAGTTGCTCAGAGCATATCGCAAGATCCTCTCCTCCTGGTTGTACAGGACAAACACACTGTCCACCGAGAGCTGCTGGGTGCTGGGCAGGGCGAGCCGGGAGCTATCGTGGACACACTCCTGGAAGGTGATGGTCTGGCGCCACTGGTAACTGTAGACATTCGAGGGAGCAGCACCATCCCGCTCAGGCTCTGTCACGGTGTACTCCCGGGTGGAGGACGATGTGATCACTGGGACGGGAGAGGGCAGAGGGAAACAAGGCAGGGGGACAAAGGAGGGCAGAGGGACACGAGGCAGGGGGATAAAGGAGGGCAGAGGGACACGAGGCAGGGGGACAAAGGAGGGCAGAGGGACACAAGGCAGGGGGACACGAGGCAGGGGGACAAAGGAGGGCAGAGGGACACGAGGCAGGGGAACAAAGGAGNAGCAGGGGGACAAAGGAGGGCAGAGAGACACGAGGCAGGGACAAAGGAGGGCAGAGGGACATGAGGCAGGGGGACAAAGGAGAGCAGAGGGACACGAGGCAGGGAGAGAAAGGAGGGAGCGTAAGGATGCAAGAGGCTTCATCCAGGCCTCAGAACTATCAGCGGGATCCCTGGCCTCAAGGCTTCCACAGGAGACAGCAGGTGGAGCAGGTAAATAAGACCATTTATTTCTACATGGAGACTCCTTCTGCTACCTAGATTTCCTATATTATTATTGGTATTATTTGCATCAGTAATATGTGTTGCTTTTTCCCATCAAGTTCCTAAGCTGCCCAGAAGCAACCTAAAGATTAAGGTCTAGTGGAAAGAGCACACTCTTGGAAGGAGATACATCTGAACTCACACCTTGCACCATCACTCACCACCTGTGTGAACACAGGCCAGTCACTAACTTCTTTAGCCTGTTTCTTTTAGAGCATGGCTTGGGAGAGGATGAGATAAGGTAGGTAAAACTTCTGGAAATGAGCAGGCGAATACTACTCAGATCACCTACCACTTATGAAGCATTTACCATGTGACTAGCACAGTGCTCATTGCTTTATAGAAATGATCTCATTTAGGATTCAATAAATAGTGGTTGCTATGTATAAACCTAGATTAAGCAGTTCACTGATATTTTAAAACATTAAATGGATTTCAGTAGCCAATTTCTGACAAGTTACTAAGTGCTGGGAGCAAACCTCAATAGAGGAGAGAGAGAGAGAGTCTTTCCCACTCAGAAGACAGCCTGCTTTCACCCCACCACAAAACTCTCCACTTCCTATTTAAAAAAAAAAAAGTATAAAAGACTCTTTATGTTTGTGTGCTGTGCTGTAGTTCAAAATAAAGCCAGAGAATAAATAAAAGATTAGTATAAGCTGTCTCTCGTCCAGCTACCACATGCTGGGCTGCCAGAAACACCATCTGACTGCAGAGAACCGCAAGTGGGTCCTGCTGCTCATTCCACCTCCTAGGCACCCACCTCACCCCCAGGAGAGCCCATCAAGCCACAGAGCCTTAGTAACTGGTACCACCTTTCTGGATGGCAGCTGAACAAGAGCCTTGAAAAAGTTCTTGTTGTTTGACTCAGTACTTCTATTTCTAGGCATTGAGTCTTAGAAAAGAATCAGAAATTTGGTCAGTTATTTATGATGAAGATGGTCATTTTCAACTCATTATGACAAGGGAAAATTGGAAATAACCAAGCTTTAGAAAACAGGATGTTTTAAATTAAGTCATATAATAGAACCATAAAGATTCATTAAACAGTGTTTTCAAAACCTTAATAAAACCATAAAATACTCATGATTTGATATTAACTGGAAAAGTGAAAATATAATAATGTGATATGATTGCAATTTTATTTAAAGAAAGGCTATATACCTGATTGTAGATTATACAGTAATATTGCATCAGTGTTAAATATCCTGATTCTGATCATGGTACTGCGACCATGTAAGAGAATGTTCTTATTCTTAGGAAAACACATGACATTTTTACAGGATAAAGGGTTACAATGTCTACAACTTACTATCTGTATGTGTATATATATGTGTGTGTGTGTGTGTATATGGGAGAGAGAATGATAAATGTGGCAAAATATTAACAACCGGTGAAGTGGGTAAGTGGTATGTGGAAATTGCATTACTTTCAATTTTGCTGTAAATTGATATTTAAAGTAGTTAAAAACTACATATAGATGTATAGCACAATAAAATTATATAATATGTTGAGCTATTTCTGCTGGGATATTGTATATATGTGGGTACATATATTGGGATGTTTTATATATACTAGGGAAAAGGCTGAAAGGAAATACATGTAAATTTAATAAGTTATAGCCTGGTTTTGTGACTCTAAGTTATGCTTATTTTCTTTTTGTCCTAAATTCTCTGGAGTGAGTGTGAACTGTGTCTGTCATTGGGAGAGAGGTGGTATTACTAGGTATCGCCCAGTGTTTCCCTCTGCGGCCCAGGAGACTGCAGCAGCTCAGCTGTTACAGTGGCGGCCAGGAGCCGTGCAGGCACCAGGCTGTCCCCTCACCATCGCGGGAGTAGTGGTAGAGCTCCGTGTAGGGCTCGATGTGCACCGAGGAGCCAACCCGGATCTGCGGCACACGGCCTTCCAGCTCCGTGTCGATGGTCAGGTGTCCGTGCTCATCGATGCCGTTGAACCGCTGCTTGATGACCAGCTTGCCTGGGTGCCCCACAAAGGTCACCTCAGCCTGGCGGGTGAACTCGCCCCCTGGAAAGCAAGGTCATCCTTCACTTTGCCATCAGGAAAGCCGCCTCTGAGCCTGCCCTAGGTGCACAGTGCTGGTCAAGGACCATGGGGTAGCACCTCTTCTGGAGGTGCTTTAGTTCGGTTGGTAGAAATGGGGCTGATGACACCTGAGGGCAGAGCTGGGACATCCATGTGGCCCAACTGAGAGAGGCTGTTTCCCAGCCACAAACCAGCATCAAGATGGGTTGGCTCAGGGGTTGTGCTGGAAAAAGCAGAAGACCAGGATTTTACACCCAACTGCTAGCTTCTGGTTGGGTGAACTGAGCCCACTGAGCCTCCAGTTCCTGATGATAAAAGGGTTGCGATCTATCTTGTGGAAATGAGATGAATGAAGTACGTTAGACAGTGCTCTGCCAGGTGTCAAGTGCTCCCAGATGTCTGCTAAGTCCTGATCAGGATGGGGGCTTCTCCAGGGCAAACCAGAAACCACCAGAGCGCACACTGGGATTGACTCAGAACTGCCCAGGGTGTGCAGGGCAGCAGCCCCAGACAGGCAGGAAAAGCACTTCCCCTTCAGCTTCCCCCTTTCCCACACGCACATACTCCCACTGAGGCAGGGCTGGCACGCTGTGGCCCTCGGGCTAAATCCACTGGCAGCCCTTAAGCTAAGAATGGTCTTTACATCTGTAAATTTTTTTAAGTCACAAGAATATTTCATGAAATGTGAAAAGTACATAGCATTTAAATTTCAGTGCCCATTAATAAAGTTTTATTAGAACATGGTCACGCTCATTCCCTTACGTATTATCTATGGTTATATTCTCTCTACAATGATAGAGTTGAGTCGCAAGAGACCATATAGCCTAAAATATTTAGGCAAAGCTGAAACTATTTACTCTCTGGCCCTTTGCAGAAAAAGTTGACAACTCCTGCTTTGTAATATCCAGCCTCCAGGCTGACGTCCAGCTAACAGCACAGGTGCTGGGGAAGTGAACCACGCTAGCAACAAAGATCTGCTGCTGTGGGGAGTTTGTAAAGACTCCCTAGCCCCACTGAAGCGGGTGCATGTTACAAAGCATCACCCAGGGAAAGATATGCGGGGGAGGAGTAGGGTCTGTGGGTCTGACCGTAAAGCTCGACGACGTCTACAAGCAAAAGAATGTGAACATGATTATAACACTCAGGATCTATGTGCCTGAGGAACGGAGAAAAAAACCTTAGGCCACAGGTTGGCTATCTGATGGGTAGATTCACCTCTTCTCAAATATAAAGGCTCTCCTTTCTAAAAATGGCCACACTTCTGGAAGTTGGCGTCTATGCCCTGTGACTTTAGAGCGTCCTGGTATAAAGCCCAGAGACCCTGCTTTCAGCAGTGTGTCCACAACCAAGCCATGGCTGAGGCTCTAGCGAGGCTGGGTGGTGGGCGGAGGGTGGGGAGAGGCAGTCGGGGGCAGCAGCTACGGACCTGTGCCCCAGACAACAGGCTCCAGGTCCTGGACACGGCCAGAGATGAGGGACGAAGGCTCTGCCACCTGTGCCTTTCTAGGAAAGGCCTCCAGCACACGCAGGTGGGCAGAGCAAGGAGAGGCACCAGTGCACTCGGAATGTCCCCCCAGCCATCTGCCCCCACATGTCTGCTAGAGACACCTTTCCCTGGCAGGGCCAGTGTCTATGGAGCTCCAAGGAGACAGGTGTCCTGAGTCTTGTGAGGACTGTGTTTGCCAGCTGGAGATGACAGGCTCCTTTCCTCCGAGCAGAGACTGAGGACATATCAAGGACCAGTGTCAATGGTTTGGGTGTGGAGGCAGCTAAATTAGCAGGACAAGGGTCAGTGAGCCCCACACTTGGGGTCATGAGGCACTGAGGTGGCATCACCTGCCCTGCGGAGATTTCTGAGTCCCTGGTCCAGATGCAATTCTATTGTCTTAGTGAATATATGTTAATGAAAAAATACTGGCAATCTTACCACATCTTATTCCCAGAGCCACAAAAGGCTTAGTAAGTTGTCCGCAGACGTGGCGTTCCCTTTCTGTTCATCCCCAGGCCCCCACCCCCACCCCACCCCGTGCCCACTGACTTTAACATGTGCTGTGATACCTGTGATGCTGAACCCGTTCCGGAATCCATCCTGCTCCACCGCAAACATCCATCCGATGATGCCGCCCACGGGGGCCAGAGGGAGCAGGGAATAGCCCACGGCCTCCGGGATGGTGCTGATGGCCGTGTAGGAGCGCCCGTGGTTCATCACCACGTAGGAGTGCAGGTCGGTGTTCTCAAACACGACGGGGACTGGGCTGCTCCCCACAAAGACCCTTCCCTTCACCTTGCCGTTAACTCGCTGGGGGGAACCTGAGCGACAAACAGAGAAGCCAGCTTTTCACAAAAGAACAACACGTCTGGCAGGACCCATCCCTGTAGAGCAAAGAGGGGAACAGCACTGGGGTCAGGGGCTGTGGGGTCAGCGAAAGTCCTTGCTCTTTCCAAGAAGACAGCGCCCACACCTGAGTCTGTGGCCCAAGGAACTCGGCCCTGCCTGCACCCCAGGCTGACTGATGACGGGGAGCAGGACGGGCTCCCGTGGGAACCGAGTGACAGAGGAACTACAGGAGGAACAGTGTCATGGGTGACCTAGAGTTACATGACCATGAAATTGGTCACTTTTGAGAGGCAGGGAACAGAATGAGTCATTTCACTGGAACAGAAAGGCTGAACTGTATGCCTGGGACTCAGCCGTCGGTGGCCTGACTGCTGACACCTTACCGAGCATCTCTGGCTGAAATACAGCCCGGTTCCCAGCTCAGCCGCCAGCCTGGCCCTGGAGCTCACTGCAGCCCACGCCCGCACGCAGGCCTTGTGGGCAGACGTCACAGCCACGCACATGCCCACCCACCCAGGACCCCCTTGTGGATGGGGATGTGTTGATTGTTCCACTCGGACAACTGGGACAGATGTGAGACCTGCCGCAAATTTAAAAGCTTTCTTCATAAACTGCCAAATAGTGTATCCGGGGTATTGTTTTTGTTTTAAAAGTTACATTAACAAAAAATGTCAGCATCTCCCTAGGGGGAAATATCTGAAGAGATGTACACAAACTGCCCACAGTGGTTAACTCGGGGAGATACGGTGGACTTTCATTTCCTACACTCTATGTCTTTATAATGTTTGAATATTTATAACTTGCATATATTTGTTATTGTTTAATGAAGAGAAGCTCTAAAAAAATTAAGTTCTTGTACTTAAATAAGAAAACTGAAGGTTACCATTTGACCTCCATCACACATGAGTCTGCTCTTTAAGAGTAAGATTTCATTGTGGATCCTCAGCAATTCCACCTCCTAACGTGTACCCAAGAGGACAGAAAACATGTACACACAAAGATGTGTACACGAGCCTTCCTAGCCCCATTATTCCTAATGGCCAAGATAGGAGCCATCCAAATAACAAAGCGTGGCCTCTCTGTGCAATGGAATATTATCTGGCTAGAAAAAAGGAACAAAGCACTGACACATGCTAATACATGTGTGAACCTTGAAAACACTATGCTGAGTGAAAGAAGCCGAACACAAAAGGTCACATGTTGTATGGTTCCATTCATATGAAACCTCCAGAACAGGGAAGTCACACTGACAGAAAGCTGCCTGGGACTGGGGGCTTGGGGGGACCAAGAGCACTGCTAATGGGTACAGAGTTCTTTCTGGAGTGATGAAGATGTTCTAAAGCTAGGTACTGGTGAGAATTATACAACTTAGTGAATATACTAAAGCCCACCAAGTTGTCTACTTTAAACAAGTGTGTTCATTTTATCTTTATAAAAACTGAAGAGGTAAATTGGTCACCTTGGACTGTTCGGGTATAGATTTGGTATAGGTTAACTTCATCAATTGTTGATTGTACCGGTCTGGTTTTCTTCCTAGATTAAAAATTACTAGGGACAGGGCTTTCACATCCATTCCCTCGCTCCACCTCTGCAATTTTCTGTGCAAAGTGAGTCCTCAGGAAAGCTGCTGAACAGCCCTGGACAGACAGCACTTCTGCACAGGTTGTCAGGACTGGCGACGCTGTGACATTAGAAGACTAACATTGAAGAAACACATCCCCAGACAATCACAGCAACAGGCAGGAAAACCAAGGTAAGGAAATCAACTTTTTTCCACCAAACTTTGAGCTAAAAAAATGTATCAAATGTTGCAAGAATCCAACAAATGTTTAAACCACCAGACTCTTGCTGGGCGTGTATGTAATGTTAAAATGTGGGCCGACGGCCTGTCATATCTGAGCCTGCAGCCAAGTGCACCGCTCAGCACTCCCAGCTCTGACGCTTGGCACGGGAGAGCCTCCGGGACTGCCCTGAGGAGAGGCTTTCACTGTGCATTCTGGAAGCTTCCCCCAGGGTACAAAAGCCAAGCCCAAAACAAAGCTCAGGCATACCACCCCTGGGTGGTGCGATTTGTAAAAAAACAGAAAACACATTTATAGAAGTTAAAAACATCCCCCCAAATGAAGTATACAAAATTTTCTTTCACTTCCAAAGTTGTTATTTAACAAAACTCACTTTATCTAATTGTGCACCAGAAGGCAGCTTTTTTTTTTAGAAAATTAAAAAACTTTTAAAGCGATGGCAGGGGATCTGAAAAACAGAAAAATTCTTCCAAGTTTTACTTTAGTCAAATTTTGAGCAGCAATTGAGTTTCCTCACTAAACACCAGGAAAATGGCCAGTGACAAGTGAGGTAATCTGGCATCTGCAGGAACCAGAATGTTCACTATGGCAGTGTTTTTGTGGCTTTTGTTTTCGTTGGAGTTTACCCCCCC